CTTCCACTTCTCTGTGGGGGGACATTCCTGTCCAGTCAACTAGCCTCACAACCAATCCGTTCCAATCAATCACTATACTCAGTTTACTCCACCTATACCTCATGTCCCCTAACCTTCTTAATCATACTAGTTCCCCTATCGTCGTATCTGCGTATTACACTTGTTACCACTTCAAAAACCAGGACGAAGAAAAACCCATATTGACTACGTACCGCTGTGTTAATACCGATCCTCCTCACTCCTGCAACTATTCCTCCTCACTCAGGCTCAAGCCCATCTATTATACCCTAGTCCTAAGCAGACCCGTCACTGCACAGGGCCGGGCCATATTTCCATAGCCCCGGATTCCCATCCTGCTATACCAAGCCTAGATATTTACCCCAAACAGCCCAGAATTTCATCAGACCGTGATCTTTGGCTCTCCTACTCCGCAGAGCCTCAGTGGACATGGCCGTGCGCAGGCTCTTCAGGACCCGTGCGCGTAAAGCTTGCAGGGTGATCACCCTGCCCTGTCGACACCGTTCGTTTCGAAGGGTCCAAATGGCCCAGAGAACAGCCGCTCGTATTACCTCCGAGGCATAGAGCTCCCTCTTGTCCTTCCTATCCACCTTGACCAGGGCGCCCAATAAAATGTGTGCCACATCGTCCTCCGTGACAGAGAAAGGAGAGTACTTTCCTACTTCTGCGGCCCACYACATCCAAAACTGTTGGAGAACCGGACAGGCCACGAAGAGATGAGGGATGGTTTCCACCTGGCCGCATCCCGCAGTATAACGCTCGTCCCGATAATTGCTTTTATTGGCCTGCCATTGCGCTGTGGGGACCGCCAGGTGGTAGATGAGCCACAAAAGACCTGCCTGCTTCTTATTCGACAGAGATTGCAGCACTGCACACTGCTCTCTCCATTCCCTCTGTCGCCACCGGTACAGGTAGATCACAGGAAGCCACTCTCGTTTAGCCCATCGGTCCACCAGTTCTTCACGCAGATTCAATGGGGGGAGGAGGGAGCGGTATATGACCCTGGTAGTCACTTGAGGGAGCCAGACTTTTTGTTTATTATAATTTTGCTTAGGCCATCTCCATTCTTGCGGGTCAATCGCCAGCTCTCGCCTTGTACTGCAAATCCAAAAGGGTCGGGCACTTCCCAACCCCCCCTCTGTTTTCTTCTCTGCGCATACCGCCACCGTCTCAATTTCATCAGTTTCCCACCGCATCTCCGCACCAGGTCCTACTCTCATTGGGGCTCCCAGACCCTCATACCCAGTCACCACGTTCCATGCTCGCGTCACCACCTCCTCACCCTGTACCTGAGTGATCTGGTATACCTGCAGGGGGTGTGTCTCTCCCTTACGTCTCACCCATTCTCCCCCCACTCTATGGTCCTCCCTCAGTGTGTCCACCCATTGCGTGGGAATAGCTCGCTGAAGGGCAGATAGGTGTTGCCGCCTCCGGAACTTGTGGGGGAGCCGCACTGCCATGTCAGCCTCTTTCCTCCAGTCCCTCTCTTCCTCGTCCCACAGGTGCCCAATCTTAAAAACCCCACATTCCGCCCAATGCTTCCCAAAAGCTCCAGGCTTCCCCTGCCATGGGAACGGATCACCCGTATCATCACATATGCAGGGGTTGTCAAAGAGGAGTTGATTATAGACATCGTCAGCGGTGACCGGTAACTCCTGTTGTAATTGGAGCTTTTTCCACAAAGTCAGCGCAACAGACCAAATCTGGTTCCTCTTGACGTGGCTAATGAGGCTTGGGCTGGCCAGCGCCACTAAGACCATCTGCTCTGTCATGCCAAGCGCCAGGGCCAAATGCTGAGTGGTAAGGCTCTCCCACGTTGTGCGCGCCGTCCCCAACAAAAACCACAGCAGGTTACGCAGCTGAAGCGCCGTCATCTGCAGTTCTGGGTCCAAGATCCCCAGCCCCCTTTGACTCCTGGGCTGGGTGAGCTTCGACCAAGCCACCCTAGGGATTACCGACTCCGCTTCCACATCTCCCGCCCACAGGTATCTATGC